TAATAAGTAAAAGAACAGTGGGGGGCCAGGCAGCAGATGACTGGCAGGGCACAGGAGACTTGATGGAAGTGGATATCTTGACAGGCGTGTAGGTTACACGGGCACTTGTCAAACTCAACAAACCATAACACTTAAGATCTGTGCATTCCCTGCTTATAAATTATACCTCAATATGATATAAATTCATCATTTTTGCAGATCAAAGAAGAAAAATCACATGATCATGTGAACAGATGCAGAAACAGCATTTGACAAAATTCAACATCCGTTCATGATAAATACTAGGAATAAAGGAATTTCCTTAACCTGATAAAGGACATCTACAAAATCTACGGCTAACATCACACCTAATGGTGAAAGATTAAATGCTTTCCCCCTAAGATCAAGAAGAAAGTAAGAATGGTCTCACCACTCCTATCCAGCATCATAATGGAAGTCCTTGCCAGTACAATAAGGCAAGAAAAAGAAATAAAACACATACAGATAAGAAAAGAAAAAAAAGATCTTGCTTTCTTTGCAGACATGATTCTCTATGTAGAATACCCCATGGAACCTACAAAAAAAGCTCCTAAAACTAGTGAGTTTAACAAGGTTGCAGAATGTAGGTTCAAATAATCCACTGTACTCCTATCTACTTGCAATGAACAATTAGAAATTTTTTTTGAATTTAAGTATCATTTACAATACCACAAGAAAAACTGGAATACTTGGGTATAAATCTAACAAAATATGCACAGAATTGGCATGCTGAAAACTACAAAACACTGATGAAAGAAATCAAAGAAGACCAAAATAAATGGAGAGATAAACCATATTCCTCGACTGGAAGACTCAATATCTTCAAGATATTACTTCTCCCCAAACTGGTCAACAAATTCAATGCAATCCTAATCAAAATCCCAGCAGGATGTTTTGTAGATAGGGATAAGCTGACTCTAAAATTTATATGAAAAGAGAAAGGAACCAGAATGACCAAAGCAACTTTGAAAAAGAACAAACCTGAAGAACTCACACTATCTGATTTTAAGACATACTACAAAGCAACAGTAGTCAAGACAGTGTGCCATTAACAAAAAGACTGACACACAGATCAATGGAAGAGAAGAGAATCTAAAAAGAGACCCACACAGATAGGATCAATTGACTTTTGGCAAAGATTCAAAGTCAATTCAACGAACACAGCATAGTCTTTTTAAGAAACGGTGCTGGAACAACCGGATATGGATATGCAAAGAAATGAACCTCAGGGCCAGCCCAGTGTCACAAGCGGTTAAGAGTGCCCGCTCCAATTCGGCGGCCTGGGGTTTGCAGGTTCAGATCCCAGGCGCGCACCGACACACCATTTGTCAAGCCATGCTGTGGCGGCGTCCCATATAAAGCAGAGGAAGATGGGCATGGATGTTAGCCCAGGGCCAATCTTCTTCAGCAAAAAGAGGACAACTGGCAACGGATGTTAGCTCAGGGCTGATCTTCCTCACAAAAAGAAAAAGAAAAAGAAATGATCCTCTACTTATGCTTCCCACAATATGTAAAACTTTACTCAAAATGGATCACAGATCTAAATGTAAAACATAAAACTATACAACTTCTAGAAGAAAACATAGGAGGAAATTTTTGTGACCTTGGGTTAAGCAAAGAGTTCTTAGATATGATGTCAAAAGCACAATCCATAAAAGAAAAAAAATGGATAAAATAGAATGCATCAAAATTTAAAACTTTTGCTCTGTGAAAACAGTATAAAAGAAGAAAAAGATATGGGGCCAGCCCCGTGGCGTAGCAGTGAAGTGCGTGCTCCGCTGCTGGCGGCCCGGGTTCAGATCCCAGGCGCGCACCGATGCACCGCTTGTCAGGCCGTGCTGTGGCCGCATCCCACGTGAGGTGGAGGAAGATGGGCATGGATGTTAGCTCAGGGCTGATCTTCCTCACAAAAATAAAAAAAAGAAAAAAGAAAAAGATAAGCTACAGAATGGGAGAAAAATATTTGGAAATTTACATCTGACAAAAAAATTTATATCCAGATTATGCAAAGAATTCTCAAATGCAACAATAAAAAAACAAACAACCTGGGCCGGCCCCGTGGCTTGGCGGTTAAGTGCGCGAGCTCCGCCGCTGGCAGCCCGGGTTCAGATCCCGGGTGCGCACTGACGCACCACCTCTCTGGCCATGCTGAGGCCGTGTCCCACATACAGCAACTAGAAGGATGTGCAGCTGTGACACAGAACTATCTACTGGGGCTGTGGGGGGGGGCGGGGGGACAAACAACTTGATGAAAAAAATGATGAAAGAAATGAACAGAGGGGCGGGCCCGGTGGCTCAAGCAGTTAACTGTGCATGCTCTGCTTCGGGGGCCCAAGGTTCATGGGTTCAGATTCCTGGCACGCACAGATGTACCACTTGTCATGCCATGCTGTGGCAGCATCCCATATAAAGTAGAGGAAGTTGGGCACAGATGTTAACTCAAGGCCAATCGTCCTCGGCAAAAAAAATAGGATCAGCATCACATGTTAGCTCAGGGCTGATCTTCCTCACAAAAAAATAAAATATAAAATAAAATAAAATATAAAATTAAAATAAAATAAAATGAACAGATACTTCACTAAAGAAGATATACAAATGGCAAATGAACACATGAAAAGATGTTCATCATCATTAGTCTTTAGACATATACAAACTAAAACCACTACACACATACTAGAATGACTACAAAAGAAAATGACAATAAGTACTGGGGAGGATGCAGAACAACAGGAATTCTCATTCATTGCTGCTGGGAATGCAAAATGGTACAGCCACTGTGAAAATGTTTGGCAGTTTCTTATAGAGTTGAACATACACCTACTATACAACCAGCGATCTGTCTCGTAGGAGTTTACCAAATGAAATGAAGGCCTATGTTCACACACAAAAAAACTGTATACGAACATTCACAGCAGCTGTATTCAGAAGAGCCAAAACGGAAACACTCCAATGTCCTTCAAAGGACAAGTGGGTAAACAAACTGGGGAACATTCATACAATGGAATACCACTCAGCAAAAAAAGAAACTATTAGTAAATGCAGCAACTTGGATGAATCTCAAATGCATTATGCTACACAAAAGAAGCCGGACTGAAAAGGCAACACACTGTATGACTCCATTTATACTTCATTCTGGAAAAGGCAAACTCATAGAGATGGAGAACAAAGGTCAAGGGAGGGGTGCGGTTTGACCACAAAGAGGTACCATGAGGGGACATCTGGGAGATGACAGAACTCCGCTGGTTCTTGACTGTGGTGGTGGTTACACAACTCTATGTGTTTACCAAAACTCACAGAACTATAGACCAAAAAGACTGCATTTTATTGAATTAAGTAACTTTAAATGAACAAATACTTTTAGTGACATATAACCCACTGATTAAAATAAGAAGCCATATATGGATATATAAATGGAAGAAAAAAGAAAGTTCGTCTTTACAGTAGAACGCCAACTAATAAATGGAGAAGGAGTAATGGAGTTAGAAAATCCATTTTGCAATCTCTAAGGTAATAACTGATTCTGGCAAGACTCATCAATAGACGCTAGAATTAGTGGTTGAAAGTTGAATCAGACATAGGATATTTAACAGTCTCCAAATCAGTTATCATTTACCACAGGAAAAATAATAACCTTCCACTGGAAAAGCCTGGTGGACACCATCTTCACCCAGAAGTCAAACTGAACATCACCAGTTACGAAACAGACACCATGGCCTCCTGATGTGACACACTGAGCTGGACACAGCATCCCTTCTGTGGTATTCCTCTCAAAAATACACGACCCAAGTCAGACACATGAAACATCAGACAATCCCATATCAATCAACATTCTACAAAATAACTGACCTGTACTCCTCAAAAACGTGAAGGTCATGCAAGACTGAGGAGCTGGCCCAGATTAAAGAAGACCAAAGAGGCATGACAACTAAACACAATGGGCTTAGTTTCCCCCAGGCTGGGGAAAATAACTGTAAAGGACATCCTCAGGACAAAAGACGAAATCTGCATGTGAGCTGTGGCTTAGTCATAGCATTGTATTCCTGTGAAATGTCCTGATTTGATCGCTGTCCTGTGGTTAGGTCAGAAAACATCTTACCTAACACATGCTGAAGGATTTAGGGATAAAAGTGCATGATGTGTGATGTTTGTAACTTACTCTCAAATACTTCAGAGAGAAAAGTGTGTATGTGCATATACGAAAGAGAGAGAATGAAAATAATGCAAATGGGGCAAAAAGTTAACAACTGATGAATCTGGGTAAAGGATATAAGGGGAGCTCTTTGTACTATTATTGCAACTTTTTATATGTTTGAAATTATATCAAAATTAAAAATAAAAATTTTAAAAACACATCACCACAAAGATGGAAGTGCTTTCATAACCCAGCACAATCTATTCCAAAACTACTAGAATCTGACCTATACTTTTAGGTTCTTGGCATTGGTAACGTAACACTGGATGACTTAATTTTCAAAAAATTAAAAATAATCAATTTGCCTTCAATTAACATCCATTTAGAAGTCTAAGGTCCTAATGATTGCTGAAGTGCGTTGCACTTCAGTATTTCTCCTAGCTACAGAAAATATCAAGTTATCATCTGTTTAAATCTTTTTTTTGTTGTTCTGTTTTGCACTGTTCTCAAAAATACAGATAGAAGACACAAGAAAGAACCAACATTTAAAACAGCACACAAGGAATCCTAAGCATACGTTCAGCAGGACTATAAGTATTAGATGACATGCATGCTGAAGCTACTACTGCCGCATTATAGGTCAATACAAAAAAAAAAAAGTAATGCATTAAGATCTGTGTTGTCATTTACTCATGCAATTTAATTTTATATACAGGAAGAATTTTTTTTTTAAATAAGGAATGGGCTCTGGAAAAAAATGCTGAAGAGCAAATAGTAAATTGAAGGTTAAAATATCTGGATGAAGGAAAAGTTTGGGATGAGACTACATTTTAGAACCATCGAAAAGTACCTGAAATGGTTGCTGCTGGGATGAAAAAGCAGCAGAAACATTTGGAGGAAGCTGGGTTGCTATAACAAAAGGAGTACCAGTCTGCCCATCCTTTCCTGTCACAACCTTTACCTGAGAGGAAATATTTTGAGAAAAAAAGGCAACTTAATTTTTAAGACTGCTCAAAATTTTGTTAGAATTTTATTGCTGATAGCTCACTGATGTTTGGTGTTTAAAAATGGAATGTTTTGCACCAAATCCTGTAAAAGGACACCAAACTGATTTATGACATTTATAACATAACAACCTAACTCAACTGCAAATCTTGCAGGAACTCCAATCTAAGTCACAAGCGCAGTATCCTTAGATTCTACAACTTCAAATTTTAAAAACGGGAATGGCAGAGAGTCTTCAAGTACCTAAGCCCTAACAACCTCATAGGCAGTTTGCACAACAGCCTCTCCATTGCCCACTATGGGTGGGTCGGAATGACAAAGGTCTATTTCAGTGAGAAGTTATAAAAAGGGATTTCTTTTTCTTCATAAGCACAGATAAGGGGGAGTGAGTCTACAGACACCACTGGTGTACAAACGTAAAGAGAATTAATTTCACTATTTCATGGCAACAGAGGTGAAATCCTCAAAATAATCATATAAACCTTTTGGAAAATAAAAATGGTCCAACCTGGAAAGGGTGTTAAAGGAAACACACAATGGCCAAGCCACACAGATACGTCCATAAATATCAATGAGGACGGGTGAGCAAAGAGACCAGCTTTTGTTTACCAAAGGCTGATTTCTTTGCAGGAGAAGAGCTGACAAAGATTTAAAGTATTTTAGCTATATCATAAAACAAAATAAGCTCCACCAACACAGTGTACACTACACAACACGAAGGCACAAAATACAGTGCATTACAGTACACCTCACTATCACCCTGTTTTGATTAACTTCTTTTTTAGGAAGTAAAAAAAACATCTTAGGAATCACTATGGTACTGAGAAATCCCAATTGGGGGATTTATTAAGCACCCATTCCAGGCACCCAACAATTTCACTTTCTAAAAAACATTCTATTTTAAATATCATTCAGTAAGTACCTGCAAAAGTGTGAGTTTAAAATATGATCTAAAATCTAAGACTACATCTAAAAATTGAAAAAATTCTCAAAGTTTTTCGCCATGATGACTGTATTTTAATCACGTAGATACCACATAAATATATCTAGTGATTTATAATTATGGACTGGTATACTATAAAAAGCAAATGACTCAAACCCATGTTCACAGTGTTTTTAAGGGGTGGACCTATGTAAGTAAAATGTGAAACCTGGAAAATCAGCTGAAAAGTGTTCACGTCTTTGGCCAATACTCACACTCCCAGCAGACTCCAGGGGAAAGGCTGGGTCATGCCAGGTTAGTTCTCCAAACCTGCAAAGAATCTTTGTTCTAAATGAAAGCACTTGGTTCCGAATCAGCATTACTCAGCAGCATCCTGCACCTTCCTCCCAACAACTAGAGCAGCTCTTCCCTTCCACAAAGGAAAGAGCAAAATCTACCCTCAATTTTACTCCTGGATCGAATACTTATGAAACCACATCTTAGAAACACTCATGCTCATAGGTTATTTTTTATTTACAGTTGTCTGGACTCAAATCTGAGTAGCACAGTCCTCCAATTATTAAACTGCTATTTCTCACCTCATCATTGATAACCTCAGACTTTTCTTCCTCCTCCTCCTCCTCCTCCTCTTCTTCCTCAAGGTCCAAATCATTCTGCCTCAGATAAGCTTGTAACGGGGCATAATGTTTCTTCTTGAAAGCTAAGAAATCCATCATGTTCCCTTGAAGGTGTTGCAAGAAAAATAGTTCGATCAAATACTCCTTGAAGGCCTCCTTCAGCGCCTCCATCTCTCTGTAGTGGTAGTCCAGGCACTGCTTCCTCATCTCAGCCAGCTCCTGGGAGGCCGGGGGGATCTCCTCCAACTTCTTGGGAGCCTTTCTCACCCCCGCACTCCCCACAGACGTGAGAGGAAGGCTGGAGAGGCCCAGGGGCACTGTGGTCCTGGAAGGGCTGGTGGGGGGAGGTGGGGACGTCATCCCAAATGCTGCAGTACCCCCAACCCCGACTCCGACCCCAGGAAGCAGAGGTCTGGTCAGCGGCGGTCCCTGCAGCACCTGCTGCTGCTGGATCAGCTGCCCCTGGATGATGCTGCTGATCTGGGGTGGCAAGCTGGCCGTGGTGATGTGGCTGGGGCTGGCCAGCGGCTGCAGGCTGGCCCCGCCCGAGGCTGCAGGGCTCTGGGGTCCCAGGTGGTGGACGGTCCCCCCGGACTGTGCGTGGGGCTGCGAGAGTCTCCGTTCTCTGACTGTGATGGGAGTCCCTGTGTGCTGCAGCTGAACCTGGGCTGCTGGAGCCATCTGGGCAAGGCCCGGGCCCTCCTGAAACACAAAGTGCCCGCCACTGGACGGGCTCAAGCTGATCTGCCTCACCAGCACGCTGGCGTCCACAAAGCCCCCGGTGGGACTGCTGCTGCAAAGGCCCAGGCCAGGGCCAGGGGCGCCCGCCCGCACACTCTGCAGGCCTGGCCCCGGCCCAGGGCTGGGCTGGGTGGGGCTCTGAGTCTGCACCTGTTGGGACAGCGGTGAGGTAACCTGGATGTATGACGGAGATCCATGCTCAAACCGCCTCTGCTGGGCACTGAACTGAAAACCTGGAGAAGTGGGGCTGGGGAGCGGCAGAGGGGCGAGCGTGATCTGTGGGCTTCCTCCCACCACTGGTCCAACATTCTGAAGGGCGATGCTCACGTTCTGCCCAGCCACGGGACTCCTATTCACGAGCTGCTGAACTTGGTAACCGGGTGACTGGGGTGCAGACGGGCTCGCCGACGGCGCGAAGGGTGTGGCGGGGGGCCGGGGGGGATTTGGATGGGCCTGCTGCTCCTCTCCTTCGCTGCCGGCGAAGGCCCTGGACCTCTGCAGCTGGTGCTGGACATTCTGAGGCCCGCTGCCATGGTGCATTATCGCCCCCCTTTTTATCCAGCTTAAAGTTCTCCTGAAAAATCAAAGTTAAAATCAAGTTACTTAGACGCAAAGATAACCGTCTGATCACCACTTACTACGAGTACCACTCAGTGGCACTGGGAGATACTCGGAAGGTCTGTTCCCACTGGCATCTGATGCAAATGACAGTCTCTTTAGTTCAGTTCAAGCCACACACGAGGCAGCAATGGAGATGATCTCCTTCAGCACAGATGAGGCCCGGGTCCTCTGGTCACGCTGCATCTGGAGTCGGCACACAGCCTGGCAGGAGTGGGTGGGTGATCCCAGCTAGCTACCGAGGAAGGTAACCAGCTACACTTGCTTCAGGCCCAGCAGGACTAGAACTCCTGCTGACACTCGTGAACAGTATGTTTCTTCCCAGAAGCCTTCCCCTGGCCTAGCGGCCCTCGTCTATGACTCCACATGCGGTGGGGCTGTCTGCCTGTCTCTCCCAGTGGAGGGACGCCACCCTGCTCATGGCCGCCCGGCACCCAGGAGGCCATCAGTGACCACTACTGGACACAGGCGTGCAGGCAGGGCTGTCTGCTACAATCACTCCATCACCAGAACAGCACATCCGCTCCCTCGCTAGCCAGCAGTTCTCATGAACTTCTGGGCTGCATCAACTGCACACATCCCGTGTTAATCGAACACAACACATGGAGCCCCATTGTGTGTCAGACCCTACACTCCTGGGGGAGAGGACCCAGGCCTAGGAGCCCTCAGGAGGTACGCGGCCTGTCACAGGAGTAAGGACAAAATGCGAAGGCGCCTCACACCTCAGCATTCTCTACAAGAACATGTAGAGATTTCAAAAAGAAAATCTCACAGGGAGAGAAGGGGAACGGCCGGGTCTCGGGCCCTCGCTCTGGGAAGAGTCCTCATCATAGGTCCACAAACTCTCTGGGAGCTGGAACCACAGCTTTCAAAGGGGCTCACGGTCCAAAATCCGCTTAATGCAAAGGACTAGAGAAAGTGGTGGAACAGTGGCAGGAACCCACTGAGGGAGGTCAGCTTTCAGGACAGGAGAAAGGAGAGCACGGAGTGGGAAGAGGCTAATTCTGAGGAGAGACAGGGAGAACACTCCCAAGTCAGACCCAGCTAGAGCCTCAGCATCTGCAGGGACACACACCCCACAGGGAAGAGGATGACACCCACAGCTCTGCTGCCGTCTACTCCCCACTGTGGTTGGGCCACGGGCACCGAAATATCCTTCCACCTTGAAAACTCTCAAGTCTTAACTGACACACCTAGTTCCCTATTTCTTGGTGTTCCTTCCACCCCTCCCCCCAAGACACACAGGAGTGCCCTTTCATCTTCAGGGCATCACTGATTATCTCACTTAGAAAATGGATATGGGATGAAAAACATCATAAACCAGAAGTTACAAAACTTATAAAGTAGAAATACATGTACATACGAATGCCACCACAGTCCCAGACAACTGGTTAAAATACACGTATATATGAATGCTCTCACAGTCCCAGGCCCCTGATTAAAACACCATATAGGGGCCAGCCCCGTGGCGTAGCAGTTAAGTGCATGCGCTCCACTGCTGGCGGCCCGGGGTTCGGATCCCGGGCGCGCACCAATGCACCGCTTGTCAGGCCATGCTGTGGCGGGGTCCCATATAAAGTGGAGGAAGATGGGCACGGATGTTAGCTCAGGGCCAATCTTCCTCAAGCAAAGAGAGGAAGACTGACAACAGAGGTTAGCTCAGAGCCAATCTTCCTCACCAAAAAAATAATAATAATAAAATAAAATAGAAATGACACTTTTATTAAATAAAAATTACAGAACAAAAAAATGTTACAACAACTGATGGACACATTGAGAAAATTCTATCTAAATTCTAACCACAAATCATTCACCAAAATAAACGAAACACTTTTATAAGCTAACATTCCAAGTTTAATACTAAATGTAAAAAAATCAAAACAGAAAAACTTAAAGAATACAGAAGTGAACACTTACTAAAGCTCTGAAGGAAATTCAATTTCCTAAACATAAAAACAGTAAAGCTGCATCTGAAAAGACAGATGGATTTAAAGACATGCAATTTAAAAATGTTTAAAACTCCAAAGAGGGCCAGTCCCGTGGCTTAGAGGTTAAGTGTGCGCGCTCCGCTACTGGCGGCCCAGGTTCGGATCCCGGGTGCGCTTCTCTGGCCATTGCTGAGGCCGCGTCCCATATACAGCAACTAGCAGGATGTGCAACTATGACATACAACTATTTACTGGGGCTTTGGGGAGAAAAAGGAGGAGGACTGGCAATAGATGTTAGCTCAGAGCCGGTCTTCCTCAGCAAAAAGAGGAGGATTAGCATGGATGTTAGCTCAAGGCTGATCTTCCTCACAAAAAAATTAAATAAATAAATAAATAAATAAATAAATAAATAAATAAATAAATAAATAAATAAAACTCCAAAGTAAATTATCAAAATCAAAAACCACATTTCTTGGGAAGAAAATCTGAAGTAATTACAACAAATGGCTCTGACCAGTACCATAAAAAGCACTCCTACAGGGGCTGGCCCGGTGGCAAAGTGGTTAAGTTTGCATGCTCCGCTTTGGTGGCCTTAGGTTCACAGGTTCGGATCCTGGGTGCAGACCTACACACCGTTCATCAAGCCATGCTGTGGTGGCATCCCACATACAAAATAGAGAAAAACTGGCACAGATGTTAGCTCAGGGCCAGTCTTCCTCACCAAAAAGAAAAAGCACTCCTATAAATTAATAAAACACTGAAATCCCAATAGAAAAATGAATTAAGGACAAGAAGAGACAGTTCACAAAAGAAGAAAAACATCTACAGAAGCAGCTTAGAGGAAAACGTCCAACCTCACTACTAATAAAAGCAACAGACTGGAATAACTTCCAGATCCACTCGGCCAAGGCTCTAAATGACACACTGGTGCCCTGCCGCCCCTGCTAAGGGGTGTGGGAGCAGACAGGAGACGGAGCAGCCATCTCGAAGGGTTCAGAGCCCAGAACGTCCCTAACAGGGTGGGCGACACACCAGAAGGGACCCAGCTGCCCTCATTACCTTTGACCTAGTAATCCCACCTCTGGAACCTCTCTTAAGGAAATTCACTACCTATTCTTTTAAAAATTGTGCATTAAAAATACTCATTGCAGAAGACAGTAAAGGTAAAAAGAAGTGTAACCAGAAATACCCGATGTCCCAGTTCTAGATGGAGACTATGTGATAAAAATGGAAAAACTTCCAGATATATTAAGTGAAAAAAGCAGAATATGGTACAGTATAACCACTACTCTGTTAAAAATACAAATTAAAAAACTATCCACTGAAACATACGGAAATATGAATACTGACCTTTACCTGGCGAAGGAATAAAACAGCTGGAACAGCCACACAATGGAGCCGCCTCAGCAACAGAAGGACTGTGCTCCTGACACCCCCACACCAGGATGAGTTGCAAGATGCCAAAGAGCAGAGCCAGACTCAAGGGGCACGTACTGTGGGTCACTGACATGACATGACATTCTGGAACAGGTCAAACCACAGGGACAGAGATTAAACAGAACCTGACAGGCTGAAGGTGGGAGGAGCTGACTCGAGAGGCAGAACTGAATCCAGGGGAGTGGAAACACTTCTATATTTGAGTTGTGATGATGGTTACAAGACTGAGTGTGTTCGTCCAAATTCACTGAACTGTACACTAAAGTGTGAACTTTGCTACGTGTAAATTACACCTCAACTTTTTTAAAATGTGGTTCCTGACTTCAGTGAGCTAAGAGTTAAGTTAGAGAAGCAAACTCAATCAATTATAATGTAAAAAAACTGCTTATTAAAGCAGCGTTCCCCAAAAATGTGGGACAGGTATCCGATGGAGAGCAAAGCTACCACCAACGGCAAAACAACTTTTTTTACTTTTAACCACTATGTTTCTTCTTTTTTTTTTAAATAATTTTATTTATTTATTTTCCCCCAAAGCCCCAGTAGATAGTTGTATGTCATAGTTGCACATCCTTCTAGTTGCTGTACGTGGGACGCAGCCTCAGCATGGCCAGAGAAGCAGTGCGTCGGTGCGCGCCCGGGATCCGAACCCGGGCCGCCAGCAGCGGAGCGCGCGCACTTAACCGCTAAGCCACGGGGCCGGCCCTTAACCACTATGTTTCTAATTTTAATGTCCATCAGAAAAAGCTGGAGCAAACCCGTGAAGCTCACACTTCGAGGAGCACGCTGCTCAGGAGGAGGCTGAGGTCAGTGGCGCTGGATTACAGCACTGATGCAGCCTGGCAAGGAGAAGATCACCAGGTGCCATGCTCGCCAGTGCCAGTGGCAGGGATGGTGCCAACCACAGGCTCAGTGTCTGTGCCTGCTACTGCTCTCCCAGGGTGATGCTGACATCATAAAGAGGCACATCTGGATGCCGGGAAAACGCCACTCTAAGAAATACCTATCTGGGCCCTATTCTCAGTGTAGGGCAGGGGTCCCCAGGTCAGAATCTGAGAGAGTGAGGCGTAGAGGTTCAGGAGACTGGGTACTCACAGCCCCTACTCTCAGCCCACCCACTGGGCCTGGAGCTGCTGCCGCTGCCCTGCCCTCCCTGCCCAGAGTCCAGGCAGCTACGGATTGGGAATCCTTTTCTTCCCCTTCAGCAAGTAGAGAGCTCAAGTCATGAGCTTTGCCCGCCTGGCAAACCCATCTCCCTCTCTGCCTCCACATTTCCCCAAACAGAACCAGCCCTCTGGCCAGTCTCCCCGGCTTTGGGTAGTTCTGCTACATAAATAGCTCCCAGGCTGGACTGAGAGCAAGGTGAAGGGGAAGGGAAGAGGAGATGGGACATAGCAAGCACAAACTCAGGGCAAAAGGAACAGACAGATCATGATGGGTGTGGAGGGCAGATGGAGAGCTACAAGTAGTGTCTGGGAATATTTTCATGTGGGAATTCCAGAAAGCAACTTGGCAGTAGGTATGAGGAGTCTTACAGCACACTCACATCGTCTGACCCAGTAATCCAACTTCTAGATCGACCTAAGAACAAAATCAGAGCTGTGTCCCGATATACAAGGATGTCCACTGAAATATTATTTATAGCAAAAAGGTGGCAAGTCTAACAATAAAGATCAATATACTTTGATACATCTATGCAACAAAATGTTAATACTGAATATGTGACAGTGTACACTTTGGTTTTTTCCTGCTACCTTTCTATGCTTTCCAAATTTATCCTTAATTGGCATGTGTCTCAGTCATTGGTGTTGTTCACCAAACACTCCTGATTCTCCTCCCAGTCACAACACAGGTGGGCACTTCTCTGCCCTGGCTTGGTGTGCTCACATGACTTGCTCTGGCAATGACGAGGCCATGCTGTTTGCAACACTGACTCTTTCGCACCTTGGCAGTATATGGAAGCACGGAGAGGAGCACAACAGAGCAAGTTAACTGCAGGGAGCATGTGGCATGCACTATGTCCTCTTGTTGGATGCCACTGGCACCTGGGGTGTACCTGTTAACTGCGAGAATCGGGTTTATCGTGGCTGATCCAGCACAGATGTAAGAAAACAAGATATCATAGCCAGAAGAGACGCCAACCCTCTACTCTGGCCCATCCCACAAACCTGGGCAGTTCTCGTCCTTAAGAAAGAAGACCCCTGCTTCCATATCTGTCCTTGCCTCTCTGCCACCTCCAGCAGTTGTTCACCCAGAGAGCCTTACAGGGTTCTGTGGGGTCCACAAATCTGTGCCTCACCAAGATCTGCACCCAAGAGAACAATGCCTCCCATAGACAGACTCCTGTATTAAAGAGTTTCTGACTGCTACGGAAATTTTAAAAATAAAAAGTCATTTTACAAGGGATTAATCTCCATAATATATAAAGAACTCACACAACTGAATGACAAAAAAACAAACAACCCAGTCAAAAAAGGGGCAGAGGTGGGCCGGCTCCGTGGCTTGGCGGTTGGGTGCGCGCGCTCTGATGCTGGCGGCCCGGGTTCGGATCCCGGG